AAGAATGAGATCAAACTATGCGGCATGTCAAAATGGTCAAGATGAAGAGGCACCACAAGAGTTGGAGGGTGATTACATAGCCATGGTACTTTGATTGATGGCAAAATCTACCAAAACATCTCGCTTGTCTATGGGTGGGTCCAAATCATAGACAGTTAGACACTCCTGACCCACATGATTCTAAACTGAGTACAGTGAACTCCTGATCTGCAAGAGTTTAAACTGTGTATGACATTAACTATTCAAAAAGCTATTTGAACTACATTTAACTTGATCTCCTTCATGGGAGTACGTAAGCAACTTAAAAATTTTATTGTCTAAATTCAGTCATAATAATAAAATAAAATTTAAAAAAAAAAGTTTTATTCACGTCGCGGATAATGGTGCTATTGTGATTCAAGTCATGCATACATTAATTATTGGCATGACAAAGTAAGGGAGAAGTCTAGCGAAGTATTGCAAGTCTTGGAGTTGACAAAAATTACCAAAGCATGCATTCTCGTAGCAATTGATAACTGTTTGGAATTTTGGTCATATCTTGATCTACGGTGATCTAATTGTGGTAAATCAAAGTATTGTTGAAAAGTTAACTTTTAGAGCTACAACTTTCTTGAAGACACCAAAGCTTGAATATGACTTTTAAAATGTCAAAATTTGAGGTGAAGTGAAGGCACAAATTTGTCAAAAATTTCTTGTGTTCGAATTTCATTTGAATCCTTTAGGGATGAGGTCTATTTGTAGTTGGCATGATTTCTTTTCATGTTCAGTGGTAATAAAAAAAAATTCTTGTATTTTGACAGTTTGGAAAGGAAATGAACTAGAGTGAAAAAATAATAAATGTTCGAATCTAGAACAAATTAAAATTTATTAGGGTACAAGACAGAAAGTAGACCATGATATACAATATAATTTGCCAGGAGACCACACCCTAGTACTCAAACCAATCATTATACCGTGCACCAGGGCGCACATAGTAATGTGCGCTCGCGCCTCCAAAAACAACGTCGTTTTGATAAGTTTTAAATTTTTAGGTATAAAATTCTGTGCATTCTATTATATAATTCTGTACATTCGAAACATAGGAATTTTCAGTTATAAAATTCTGTGTTTTCAATTATAAAATTCTGTGTTTTCAGCTATAAAATTATGTGTTTTCAGGTATATAATTTTGTACATTCGAAACATGGGAATTTTCAATTATAAAATTCTATGTTTTCAGGTATAAAATTCTGTGTTTTCAGATATATAATTTTGTACATTCAAAACATGAGAATTTTCAGTTATAAAATTCTGTATTTTCAGGTATAAAATTATGTGTTCTCAGGTATAAAATTCTGTGTTTTAGGTATAAAATTCTGTGTTTTCTATTATACAATTCTGTACATTCGAAACATGAATTTTTTTAAGAAGTTAACAGCAGACACACAAAAAGGTACAAAATTAAACGACGTCATTTTGAGGCAGAATTGTGCGCCCTGGTGCACGGTATAATTTGCCTACTCAAACCCATTTTTAGGGCTGGGCATTTCGATTCGAGTTACCTGAACCGAACCGATTTGGTCGGTACTTGGTTTGAGGAAATCGATCGGTTCGAATCGGGTTTTACCCAAACCCGAACCGAAAAATCGATCTGTTGTCTGTTTTTTTAATAATAATTGATATATAATATATTAAATGTTTAAGATAAGCTTTGAACCCTTAACCATTTAATAATTATAAAGCAAGAGCTTTAACCATTAAACTATAACCACATTTATATCAATACTTAGATTTGTATGCTAATAAAGGTATACATATTTCACTAAATGTTGTACACTTAAATTATAATGGACAAAATTGTCCCTACTACATTCTTGTTAGACAAAAGTACTCTTACACCACCGTTACTATTTAATTCTAACTCTCATAACTCTATCATTATTATTCTACACATATATATCTTTTTCCTATTCTTTAATTATCATTTTATTAAAATCATTATATAATTACTTTAATTGTTGATTATATTTTAATTAAATTTCTATGAATAGTAAATCATGTGTGTGTATAAATATAGGCACGCACAAATACCAATATATGTGACCGGGTACTAGATTAATATTATAGATATTTTATTTATTTATTGTAAAAACAAAGTATAAATTATATCAAAATTGTTTACATTATTAATAAAAAAAAATATAGGCTAAAGTGTCATCCCGCACCATAAACTATAACGAATTCTTCATGCCGCACCATGACCTTTCATAAGTGATATTTAGATCCACAAACCACTAAATGTTTTTCATTTAGCAATTTTTACAGGTTTCTTACAGGTTACCAGTATTAATATGATGAGATGGAATTTTTTATTTTTTTCTTTTTCTTTTTTCGCCACTTTTGCGAGGACCAAAGTCAGCACCTCCATTCACGCCAATCCAGCTCCTTGCCCACCACCGTCGCAGAGATTCACGTCAACTGCCGTTACATCCTGAAAACATGAATATGCAAGCACAAATATAATATCTAACACATCCAGTACATGTATATTTCCAAGCTTAAGCTACACATTAATTACAATTCTATATTAAGCTATGAATTCAATGAAGAAAAAAAAGTTAAGCATGTGGAGATGGTTCAACGTATAGAAGGTAGTAACCTCGAGCTGGGTGCATTTTAGGGCGCAAATGAGATGTAAAGCATGTACATATCTATGTAAAAAGCAAAGTGTCAAAGCTGAAGTATCACCACCATCTGCCAAAGCGTTCTTGCCAGCAGTAAGCATGTAAAGCATGAACTTATCTGCTCTCTTGATAGTTTAGGGGAGACCCACCCATCAGCCGAGAAGTTTTCTATATCCCCAGCAAAAGACTCAATCTCACTGATGCCACTAACACCGTCAAGATTATTGTAGCTAGAACTCATCTACATTGTAACCTACTAGTGACACTACACCAATTCCAGTCACAACCACCCTCCTTTTCTCTGTAATGGGTTTTTTCTTTGACAATGCTTCCTTTTCAAGTTGCACCGCTACAGCCATTGTTTTACCAAAATTATCGAGCAGCCTTGTTCATCCGCCTCTGTCTGCGATTCACGGGCGCCAGCTTGAACCCAAACGGGGACAAGGCATTGTCCCCAAAGAATGGCAGCCCCCTAGAATTGTAGATTTATAGTGCTCCTGACAAGGTTAGAAAGCGAAGCAAGAGCTCATCAATCCATGAATACCACTCCATAGAGAGAAGAGACGAAGCCGCCACCAAGGTTGCCGCTCCACGCCAGAGTTCTCTTCCTCCGCAGCCACCTCGGGGACTGGGAGATCGACGACGACTTCCACTGGTGGTCCTTTTGCACCGGCCGCCGGCATGCAAGCTGCCACCAGCCGTGTACAGAGCGGAGATGATTTATTTAGGGATTTAGGGTCCACTAACGGTCCACATCAGCTAATAACCAATTTATTTAAGAATTTAGGACCCACTAAAAGTCCACATAAGCTAATAACCGGTGCCATGTCATCATGATAACTGGTTAACCTGTAAAAAGTTCTAGATGAAAAAAAATTAGTGGTTTGTGGATCTAAATATCACTTATGAAAGGTCAGAGTGCGGCATGAAGAATCCGTTATAGTTCATGGTGCGGGATAACACTTTAGCCAAAAATATAAATTTTGTTCATCTCTATAAATTTCAAATACGATAATTAAAATTTACTACTTCAAAGAATTCTGAAATATAATTTGAACTATAATTTGTAATTATTTGCATTTATCAATTATTTAATGTTGAGCATAAATTTTCGCGCACCTCAAATCCTCAGACCTCAATTCTAAGTCGTAAGTCCCAACATTTGGTGATTTAATAATTCTTATTTTTCAAATATTAACTATGTAGATAGATAATTCTTCATCTTGTCATCAACAAATAATGTATTTTCGGACAACTGAACAATCCATCAGACAAAAAAAAAAAACAAACGTTCAAATAGTTGACTTCCACCAAAACCGAACTTTTTCAAACCGAACTGAAACCGAACCGAACTCTATTGTTAAACCAAATAGTTTAATTTTTTTAAAACCAAAACCGAAACCCGAAATGCGCAGCCCTAAAAATTTTATCTAAAAAAAAAAAAACACACACACACAAAAAAAAACAAAAAACAAAAAAAAAATCTCCTCGTAGTCACCCATAAACAAAGGTTTTACTCCCTATCAAAGTAGAGATTCAAATTCCTCGTCGAGTCTTGACGCAATTGACATCTCTAACAGTCCAACCATTATGTATTCCGACCTAATAGTTACAAGATCAATCATTATATCGTGGATCCTAATCTAATACATAAAATTTATGTTTATAATACACATACACATAAACAAAATATAATGAACATGAATTCTGTACATTATGAACATGAATTATATAGCTGAGGACACATAAACATTTAACATAATAAATAGAATTCGTGTTCATAATACACATAATTCATGTTCATTATATCATATTTATATATATGTGTATTATGAATATAAATTTTGTGCATTATAAAATTAAATTATGTGTATTGGACTAAGGTCCACAGTGCACTGGTCCACGATATAATTTGCCTTACAAAGATATGACAACTTTTGCCTAGTTGGACAAAGCTCATTTTCACTACAACCGTTGAGCCCAAAAAGCCCACTGAATCACATATTAGATTTCTTAGTAATTCTCATCTAACACCAGTAATTAACTTTTATCTGCACTGCGTATTCAAGAATTTTTGGGATAATTTCTTTCTATAAATATATGAATCTTTATTGACACGTGGCAGTACATGCATGCGTGTGTGCTATCATGACAATGCTTGAAGACGAATAATAAGCTTGGTTTTATCAAAGCCAACAGTACTTACGCTGATAATTGTGTCCATTGTAATCTTAATTAAATCTGCATTAGTTGAAGATTAAGAACTGACATGAAACGCATCCCTTTCTCCCACCTGCCACCATTTAATATCACCACTAGCAGTTAGCCAATTATATCATCATCTAATAATATAATATTAGTTTACAGGCCATAATATGATTATTATATGTTCTGTTAAAAGAAGATTTCTCCTTGCATTTTCAGAAACTGTCAGCAAGACAAAACCATTAACCAAAAGTTTCTTGTTCATCAACTTTGACTGGATACCTAGAGAGAGCATCCAGGCCTATTTTACAAGAGTATTTAAAAAGATATTGATCTTGGCCTGGGATTTGAGGAAGAAAGGGAAATGAAACAAGAAAGGAACTTACCAGCTGTTCCTCATGGCTCGGTGGCAGCAAATTCCCCGGCAGTGTCACCATTGTCAATCCCAAATTCTCCGGCACAGCCATTATTTCGGTCGCCGTTGTCAATCCCAAATTCTCCGGCACAGCCATTATTTCGGTCGCCGTTGTCAATCCCAAATTCTCCGGCACAGCCATTATTTCAAACACCAACACCCTCACCTTATTCGTTCTCAGTAGCTTCCACAAGATGGGCCACAAGACCACCTGAACATCTTTTCAATCTTCTCCTTAGGTCACTGGCAGTGCTGTTATCATTTGTCGCCGCCATCACTCTGGCTGCTCCATCTTCTAGAAGGGGGAAACGCACAGAGATATTTTATTATCATACAGAATTGCTGTAAGTATGAGCATAAACACAACTTCATAATGCAATTTTCATGAAAAATGTGACTGTTATTTTCCTGCTTCTTCACTGCAGATACAGCTTTGTTGTATACGTATTGACTTTCTTCTATTCCGCCTTTCAACTATTCAAAGGTGTTTGTGACATTGGTTACAGAGGCATTTTAATCTCAGACAAGACCTCAGACTACACAAGTTTCATTTTTGACCAGGTAATTACTTGCAAGACAACAAGATTGTTCCTGCTTCCATAAAAACATGACACATTTATAAGAAAATCTAGGGTAAATAAGTACATTATACTTTTGTCGTACAATGTTCTCCAGTATCTTTTATTTGCTACAAAAATTATTTAAAGTACAGACTTCATCATAAAGTAATATGTAATGCAGTTGGCAGCTTACCTTGTTCTATCCTCCTCCTCTGTTGCCGTAATAGCAGTTCAGCATATGAGAACCAATTCACCACTCTGGAAGGCAGCAAGAATTGCTGTTGGCACGTCATTTCCCACTTTTGTTGTCGTTGCAATTTCTGCTATGTTATCAGGATACAAGCTCTGTAAAAGGATCATATGGTAATCCTTTACTATGACAACGCAAAGTCTTAGTTCAAGATGCATCTATATCATCAACAAACTGTAAATTCTTCCCAGGAGTTGAAGTATGTAATAGAGATAAAAATTGGAAATTGTATAATTCCACAAATTTTCGTATGGAAGAGTTTATATTCAGAAGGATACCAGAACAGAGATCTCACCCATCAATAAGAATATCCATAGACTAGCCAACAAAATATTCAACTGCTGAAGTTAAGATTCTAGCAAAATGAAGTTGTTCAATTGCTTTCATACAATCTCTTACAAATTCAACACATAGAAGAACTACTTTTACCTCTATAATCTACCTACTTTATTCGTCTTTAGTAATAACTAGTTTTCCTTCAGCAAACTCACAACTTTGAATGGAGATACTGAGCTGCTTCTGTAACTTTCTTACAACAAAAACTTCTGGTTCCTCACATATGGTGACCACATTACCCTTTCGTCCAAGCCGGCCTGTACGGCCAGCTCTATGTGCGTAATGAATTGAGTCAGTAGGTAATTCCAGATTCACTACAAGATCACATTCTGGCACATCCAAACCTCTAGCAGAAAGTTCACTTGTCAGCAGCACTCTGACCTCTCCATTTCTGAAGTCCTTTAAAATGGTTGATCTCATTAATTTGCTAAGGTCACCATGTAGTTCTGCAGCTTTCATACCACGAGCTTCTAGTTTAAAAACAGCGTCTTTCAGTTGTTTAGTATGGTTCATAAATGCTATCACATACTTGGCATCCAGAGCATGTATACATCTTCTTAGCACTTCAACTTTGTGCTGTATTCTCGTGACACAATAATAGTGATTTAGATTAGGTGGTAAGCTCTGAACAGCAGGCTGAGCCTGGAAGTTGGAGTTCAAACTAGCACTGGTAGGTGTTCCAGAGAAATCTACAGAACCAGAAGGAGGCAGAGATTGAAGCGGGGTGACCATGTTGGCTTGGACAAGTAGTGGGTCACAACCCCAACTTCTAGCAGCCCTAATCACTGAAAATGGCACTGTTGCAGAGACCAGTATAATCTGTCGCTCTGCCCGCTTCATAGAACTGCTTGAAGCACGCAGTCCGGCACCAGATCTCCTTCCCACATGATCTAGTATCCGCTGCATGTCCTCCCGAAAATTGAATGCAAGAAGCTCATCAACTTCATCTAAGACCAAGTAACGACAGCCATGAGTGTGAAGCTTTCCAGTTGCACTGATTTCTGCAATCCGACCAGGAGTACCAACTACGATGGCTGGCTTATTTTTCTTGAGTGCTTCTTCCTGTCTTGATCGGTTTGCACCTCCAACAAGCTGCTGAACCAGTCTTCTGTCAGGTCCTAATAGCTTTTCAGTTTCCCTGACAATCTGCATACCGAGTTCCCTTGAAGGAGCCACAATAACAGCTTCTATATCTGTTCTGTTCTGAGCTTTATCACTGCTTGAATTTACACCATTCAAAGGGAAAACTTGGGAGAGTATTGGAAGAAGATATGCCAATGTTTTTCCTGAACCAGTGTAGGACTGAATAACAACATCATGATTTTTAAGAATAGTTGGAATTGCAGCAGCCTGAACGTCTGTTGGAACTGTAAATCCTTCCTTCTCAAGTCTGTCAACCAGTAAAGATGGCAGGCCAAGCTCAGAAAAGGATTTTGCAGCAAAAGGTGCTGCCCCTATGTCTATGGACTTCATCTCTTTCACTCCATTGTTTCTTTTCTGGTTCACCTTTTTCTTGGTATTGTTCTTGGGGACTTCAATTGTGGAAACACCCTCCTGGAGCTTATTTTTAGCATTCCTGCTTATCGTTTCAACATCATTCTTCAATCCAAGGCTAGCTAGTGTAAGAGGACCAAAGTCACTTAAAAACCTTACTCTGCCATTAAGTGGAGGTATTCTAGTAAGCCCAGAAAGATTTCTCAGTGATAAGGAGTCCCCAAAATGTAGAAATGCCCTTGTTGCAGATAGAGCAGGCATGATTTTGCAATTTCCAGTTTGACTGAGAGTGGCTATTTCATTCCTTATTGCCAACTAAGTGTAACGGAACAAGCCAAAAAGGTCTAAAGCCCACTAGCAATGCAGTAGTTGGTCGTTTTAAAGCTGCAATTCAAACCACAATTAGATAGAGTTTGAAGTGACCATGGCCATATTCAACTCAGATAAAGAAGAAACAGCACGCCATTAGCCAAAAATCACAAATTACTTCAAATTATATGCCAAAAACCAAAGGAAATCATATCTAATAACCTTTCACTCAGTGCCCATAAACAAAACAACTCGCAATGGCAGCTAGGTTTACTCATCAAAACAACAACACTGTGGAACCAAATATTGAGCCTTGAAATTGAGAATATTTGAGCTTCACGTTTTGAAATGCCTCCTACTCGAATTCCATGAGTTTCAATTACAATAACTCTAAGCACTACCACACAGGCATTTTATCAAACATCTAGAAGACAATGATGAGAACTGACATGGAGCTTTTTATTCGTTTGCGGCCAAACAACAGTTGATACGCAAACTCGGATATAAAGTAAGAAGAGAAATCAATCAATCAAATGAACACTACGATAAGGAGGGAAGAGAGAGAAAGGTTAGTGCTTCACCTTCACTAAGCATCAGCGCCCGGCGGCGTTCTTGCGGATGAGAACAGAATGCCTTATCACACTTATCACTTTAAACTTACGCCGTTCAGAGCATACAATTGGACAAGTCTTTATTAATTTAATAATTTTTTAAAAAATATCTTCTTTGCTCCTCTGCGAATATATATATATATATATATATATATATATATATATATATATATATATATATATATATATATATATATATATATATATATATATATATAGAATTAGGTTCTGGTGCAGTTAGGGTGCCTAGGTGCGGTTGTGCAGTTTAATCTGGGCCATCCATCTCGCTTAAATTAGCGTTCAGGATTACTAAATTTTTTTTAAAAAATGCGGTGATAATTTTGTAATTTTTGCATTTAGGTCAAAATTAAGGTGAGCAGTACTGTGATTAATGTGCGTGAGTTTTGTATATAAGATGCGTGAGTCTTGTGCGTAAGGTGCGTGAGTTATGTGCTTAATGTGCGTGGGGTTATGTTTAATGTGAGTAGTTGTTAAAACTTAAAGTGTGGGCTTTTGTGCTTAAGGTGCGTGAGATTTGTTCTTAATGTGAGTGGAGTTTGTGCTTAATGTGCGTAGGGTTTGTGCTTAATGTGTGTGAGGTTAATGATTAATGTCAGTAGTTGTTGAAACTTAAGTCTTTGAGTTAATACTTAAAGTGCGTGGGTTTTGTGCTTAATGTGCGTGAGGTTGTGCTTAATGTGCGTGGATTTTGTACTTAATGTGCGTGAGTTTGTGCTTAATGTGAGATATTTTAAAATCTTAAGTGTGTGAGTTTTTGTGCTCAAAGTGCTTTGTTCTGTGCTTATTGTGCTTGGGTTTTGTACTTAAGGTGAGTGATTTGTGTTCTTAAGGTGATTTGCTTGTGGACTTAAGGTGCGTGGTGATTTGTGTATTTTAGATACGCCATGTAAATGATTAAGGTGCGTGAGTGCATCCAACCGCACAACCGCACGGGAATATATATATATATATATATATATATATATATATATATATATATAGCCTTGTTTGGTAATAACATTAGCTGATTGTAGAAAGGTGTTTGGTAAATTAGTTGTTTGTTGATAGCTGTTTAGTATAATTTCATTTTGAGTTAATACATTCAATGGTCCTCTGAGTATTAGGGGTTTACCAATTGTGGTCATCCGAGTTTTGAATGACCTCCAATGGTCATCCATGTTTTTAAAAAAAATCACTTGTGGTCCTTTTAGGACGTCTTGTGGTCATTTTAAACTCAGGTTTTTTTTAAGAATTAGGACCACACGTGGTTATTTTTTAAAACATAGAAGACTATTGGAGGTCATTTAAAACTTGGATGACTACAGCTGGTAAACCCATAATACTCGGAGGACCATTGGAGGTAGTAACTCATTTCTTTTCTCAAAAAACTAATTGAAAAATTGTTTTGAGCAATTTTTTAAATTTTAGCATTTTGAAGTTACAAAAAACTAATCAACCAAACACTTATATTGATTTTTTTTAACCAAGTCAAACAATTAATAGTGGTCAAATAAGACAAAATTGACTGATAGGCTAACTATTTTACTAAACATGGCATATATCTTTTTTGCAAGTATTATTGCAGATGATAATTTTTTATGTTCTATCAACAAAATTGTTTAAATAGTGTTAAATACAAAAATATTTTGGTCTATTTAATAATAAGTGTTAAGTCATTTTTCTTTCTTGGTCCTAGATTTATATATATAATTCCATATTTAGTCCTTTTTAAAAATATTTTTGTTGATCCTAGCATTATTTGACATGATCATTTTTTATTCTCCGTCAATAAATATGTTTAAATGACGTTATTGGCCGCTGAACATTAAATTAAGTTATCCAACTCAAAAATAAAACTCAAAAGAAAAACACTTGAACTAATAACAAGTAAAAAGTGATTTCCTTTTGGAAATACCCCAGCCAAATTGTCATTGATTTAGTAATTATAAGGTTACAAGTTTAACTCTTAGTTGAAATAGGTCTTCTTGATTTGACAGATTAAGTGTGTGTGTGTGTGTGTGTATACTTATCAATTTTTCGATTCAATTTAAATTTTATATATATACTAAATTCCTAATTTCCTAACCCAAATTTTCACAATTGTCTTTGTTCTCAATTTTTCTTTACGAGTTGCCAAGTTTGCAATGTTGCTGTCAGACGCCAAATGCGGGTGAAGTGGTCGGTTTGGTTTGGAGTTATTTTAGATTGAGAAATTGAAATATTTATTGTTGACTTGTTGCTTACCTTTTGAAATTTAAATTATTATGGGGTACTTATTAGTGAAAATAAATAAAAACATGTGCATAAGAGAACTAAGAAATGTCTAGATTCTCAAACTGAACCAAATTTGAGCCAAAATCGAACTCTTTCAAACTAAAATTTGAAATCGAATAATTTTCATTTTTTCAAAATCGAAAAAAACCAAAACGCTCATCCATAATGGTAGTTACCACTATTAAAATTATTAATATTTAAATAAAAAGTTTTTTACAAAATAAAAACTCTCTCCTTGGAGACAAAGTGATGGTCTTCATTTAATTTCTTTCGAGCCTAGAGAGGAAATGAACGCAAATTATGCCATGGAATCGTGTTCACCGAGAATGGTGAACACAAGGCAAAACGATGTCGTTTTTAGG